ATTGTATCAATTTATAATAAAAATTAGTTTCAAATATTTATCGCATAGAAATTGTAACTAGTATTTGAAGGAGAAAAAGTAAATGAAGAGGAGCGTCTAATGCTGACACATTCTATCAGTTATTATGTATGCATCAAGGCTATCAGCTCTATTTCTTTGTCTGTAATTGTCAATATATATATTTTTTTTTTCAAGGTACTTTTAAATTAATGATTCACACGGCATTCTATAGTTAATCAATAATAAATTTAAGAACATTGTAAAAAACAATGAAACAATATTTTAACATATTTATATTGCTTAGAAATATAGTACTGAATTTAATATTCAAGACATGAAACATTGATATTGAAAATTCTAATAAACTACTCAACGTAGTAATCGATTTGTCAATATTCTTAAAACTATCGATTACTTGATGCTTTGCATGAAAGCACAAACGATTATAAACAAGGACTAATATATGCAAAATTTGAATTCGATAATGACACAGATAATCATTTATCTTGTTCATTTGATCAAAAAAAAAAAATAATAACAACTGGTTCTATAAGATAAAGTGTAAAAAATATAGGGTTTAAAACCTTCTCATTGATGTCCCGATGTACAAGATTAAGAACGATATTTCATCATCATTGTTATTATATATATATCGAATCGTTTACTTCTTTTTATAATCCAACATTATCTCTTAGATTGTTCATTGATCAAATAATTATTGTATACATATCCTCCACCTTTTGTGTCAATGAAAGCATCATTATATCTTTTCGATCCGTTGAACGATGCACAAACATAATATTACGTATCTTCATTAAACATTCTGTTTTTAAAAGATAAGAAGCGGTCAAACAAGAATATATTTCAACAATAGTTTTTCTTTTCGTTATTCAAACATACAAAATAATGCGTAGGTCGTTTTATGGATGCATTATTCATTTCCTCATTATGTAAATCTCGAAGTCCTATTATATATATATACGTTGTATCTACTTTATATTTTAATTTCTATTCGTATTCATATAAATATTGAGTGATTATTATTCAGACCATCAAAAACAATCACGTGTCACTTTTATTACAGCAGATACGAGACGTCCTTCTTAAAGTAATTCGTATTTAATATAGCGTTTTATTTTTTTTTTTGTTATTGTTATTACATAGAGACGACGTGAGGGTCAACTAAAAATAATTAATGTCTTGCTTTCTTTTTCTTTTGCGTCAATGTAATATATTAAGCTTTGTACCTACACGTTAATAGAATGAGTATCTATGTTGAAAAAGAAACATATTAAAACGAATATTATTAGTTGGTATTAACAATGAACAATTCTATTTGATTATGCAAAAAGTTCATTTGATAAGTGTAAAAAGATATGTATACGTATTAAAATCAACTATTAGCTTTCAATGTCGAACACTATTATGAAATAACGCGTTCGAAAAAGAATCATATTCCGTCGCACTCGAGTGCCAACATACGTACCAATTGTAGGGTCTTTTTTTTCTTTCTTTCTCTTTTACATTCTCTTATCTATAAGATCTGATCTTTCAGGAAGGTCACTACCATAAAAAAAAACAGAGAAAGTGAGGAAGAAAAAAATAGACAATGTTAAATATTAACTTCAAATTGTCCAACAATATTTTTCGTTCTTTTTTTTTTTTTGTATTGTACCTTGACAAAAACCTTGTGTCTTTTTCGTTCGAAAGATATTTGTGATATATATATATATAGATATATATTACCTTGTGTTTCTGCATCAGTTTTTATAGTAAAATATATCAAACAACATTGAACACTGTTACATAAACACAATAAAATTAATTGAAAGTGAGAGTCATAAACATAAACATGTAGACTTCACCTAAATAGTAGACATAGATATTCCTTTTCGAGCAATATATTCATCAAAATATATGATCGATGTTGACAAATTGTCATCTCAAGAGCAGTACTGATCTAAATAATTATCATAAGGAAAGTATCTTTCGTTCTTATATCCTTTTATTGATGTAGAAGAGAAAAGAATAGAAATTATTTCCAGACACTCATTAATCATTTGATTATGTGTTCTACGGACTATCGAACTTGTATCGTTACACTTTCTATTTTAGATAGAAGTGTTTTATTGAATAAATAGATACAGTATGGATTATTGCGATTATAACGAATCATCATCTGTTAATTATCTTAATTCAATTCAAGGAATTCAATTTGATGGACAATCATATGCACTATATGGTATTATAGAATAAAGTTTTCATTCGATTTTCTTGATTACGGTATGCATTTCGTTTTTGTTTTTTTTGTGTAGATCCTAATTTTAAAATTAATGATTCATTTGTTATAAATTTTCAAATGAAAACCTTAGCTCATGATGGTATTATTTTATGGGTTGATGATCCTTTACCAGAATCGAGTTCTACAATTGAAATTCAAAATCGACAGGTTTTGTTTTTCTTTTTTTTTTATATTGAATATTTATCATAATTTTACTTTATTGTATTATTGACAAAATCTAGCTTATAGCTCGAGCTGTTGTAAATGGTCAACCATATAGTGTTCGTACAGATTTTACAAAAAATCGTTTATGTGATGGTGTATGGCATTGTATTCAAATACGTCTTGAAGGTAGTTTACTTTCAATGAAAGTTGATAAACGACATTATTCTAAAAGTGAAACACGTGTTCATTCAATTGATATACGTGGTCCATTATTTATTGGTGGTTATTCAGAAAAATATTCACCATCATATTTATCAGTTCGTACAAATTATTTTTTTAATGGTAATATACGAAATTTAAAAATTAATGAACAACAAATTGATTGGCTTGCACCACGTCATACAGCTGTTATACGTGAATTTTATAATTTAACTACAAAAATAATGCCATCAAAAAATGATCGATCATTTCCAAATTCACCAGCATTAATGAAACGTACATTAGAAACAACATAATTTCTTTTATAAAATAATTACGAAACATATTAGAACTACAGTTTGAATCGATTGATGTGATAAAAAAAAAANTTCATACTTCAATTCAAAGTATGATACGATTAGATTGTAAGATTCTTAACAAAAGTATGAAAACTAATTTTGAAAAATACAATCGACGAGGACTGTTAATGTATATCAGAGTTATCCATCGCGGCTCGAAATCTACCGCTGCCGCGCCGCGACGAATTTCCAAAAAGGGTGCCGCTGCCGCGATGGTACTCGAAAAATAGTTTCGAATTTCATTGCTGTGAATGTATTGAAATACAATTCTTGTCACTAATCGATGAGATTCATTGAGTCTTAGAGTGTTGCGTCTGTGGACATTCAATTTTTGTGCAAATTCATGCAGTTTTTGCAATGTCTTTCAGAATTAAGGTGCCGCCGCCGCGCCGCGATGCTTTTTCAAAAAAGCTTGCCGCTGCCACGCCGCTAACCGCTACCGCGACAGCGTCGCGATGGACATCTCTGATGTATATAGAGTAGATACTTGCATTTTCTTGCGCGTCCGACGTGGTTTAGATATACAATCAAAAATTGTATATTTCTAATGCCTTGTTATAATTGATGAAGAGATGGTTTCCAAAATAGATAGAATTCAAGCTCCCTGTGATGAGGAATAGTAACTACATTGTGCTTCATATTTTAATCTCGCAGAGACTGTGCAATTTATTTATAGAAGTCTTGAATTCACATTATTTAAACAAATATAAGATTTATATTGTGTAATATCGACCTGTTCACAGGTAACACACTCATCCATTTTTGAATTTCGGATTATCAAAAATGAATAATTTAATGTAACAAAGAACTGAAAACTTTAAGTGCAGCAAGACATATGAAAGTTCTAGTTTCACGAAAATTTTCACCCTGACAACTTGACAATAAATTTTCTTGCTCCGAGTAACATATTTTCATTTTTTTAATGATAAAAGACAAGAAGACTCTCTTTTCCGAAAAAATTGTTTGATTTTGACTGACGAATATAGTTTTTTTTCACCATTATGCAAAACAAATGACACGCCCATCGATGTAGAATGTATAATTACCTAGAAGAAAATTTCGAATGAATAAGTTAGATCATTTTGTGTTCGAGAAACTTCCTACTAGTTGTAATTCCGAAAACGTTACAAATCTTGAGATTAGTTACGGGAGGTTCCTTGAAAATTTTTCAATGACGAAATTTCATAATTGTAAGACTTTGAACAATAAATAAAATTTCTTTCAAATATATTGTTTCGCTCAAATAGAACTGGCGATAAAACATTTCTAAGTGTCAAATTGCATTTGAGTCAGGACTACGCACATTATATAGGTTCTCATGAAGTATAAATACCCTATGGCTGCTCAGATACTCTATTTTTATCGTTTTTTTTATTAGAATGCCTCAATTTTCTCTTTCATGAACACTAAGAAAACTGAGTTTCGTATTTGAACTTCAAATTTTGCAGAACGACTGGTGTTAACGAGAATAGTTTATTGTGGAAGTTTCATATTTTTTGATTGCGCCTATTTTAAAAAAAAATCATCGGACTTTGCTTTTACCAATATCGTATGTTAATCAAACGATTTGAAACTTTTACAGTAAATCATTCTCATTACGGCCTGTCTCTGTACAAAGTTTCAAGTTGAAGTTTGAAACTCAGTTTTACAGAAGGTGACAAGGACATGCTGCTAAAAACTAAGATAAAAATACTATATCTCGGCAGCAATAAGCTATTAGCCTGAACCCTCTTCAGAGTATTCATAGATCATTAGAATCTACATGGTCAAGAAGCGTTCCTTCACGAATCGAGAATTTCTGACAGAAAAGAAGAATCAAACTTCAAGACCTTGAATCCTGCTGCATTTCGTCAACTTCGCATTACTCCTCGTTCTCTCATTGGTGAATATGATTAACTAATTTTAGATTGCAAAAGACACATTTTTGGTTGAATTATTACAATGGTCAATTATCATCCTATGGTCTTCATACGTTAAATTCTCTATGTGATAGAGCTATGGATACACATAAAAAACTTATCGATTTAAGAACTATTAAAGCTCATATAATTGGTAAAAGTCGATTACGATCTTTATTAAATATGATGCGTAATTTTACACGAAAATGGCAAAAATATTTGCCTTGGTATTATTCAAAAGATCAACAACATCAACATAAAATTAATATTGATAATAATCAATCACGAATATCTATTCAACAATTGCAACGTTGGTATAAGATAATATTTAGAAAATTATTTCATTGTTTACCGATTTGTTTTCTTATTATGCTTATTGAATGTATAATTATTATTTATCAACTTCATACAAATCTTTGTAACAGATTATTGAATAAAAGTCTAATTAAATTATATTTAACATTAGAAATTATATCTAGTATATTACTTCTATTTGATTATATTCAATTATACTATTGGATCTATCAAAATAAACAACGAATATTTCATATTTTAATCCTTATCTGGATTATTCTATATCCATTTGCTATTACATGTCGTTTTCTAAGTTCTATTATTTATTTAATAATGTTTATAATTGGATCATCAAAAAATTTATGTATTACTTTTTATATTCTAAAAAGTTTAAGTTTAATTGAATGTATTATTTTATGTTTATTTCTTATTGAACCTCTTCAATTTTCAATTGATTATATGCTTAATCGATATGTTAGTATTAGTTATGATATTGGATTAGCATATATTTCTTCTGAAGAACAAGCACTTAAAATAATACATCGATTAACTGATAATGGTAAAACTTTTTAGAATATATCAATAGAAGTAGTAAAGGCAGCACTTCAATATCGTATAGAAAGGTTCATAACGCAATAAAATTTCTACATTGTATACGCCGTCGGGATCGACAAAAATCCTTCAGTATAGTAGAGTGTTCATAAAGGAGAGGGATCAAGCAAATATAAATCACAGTATCAGTTTTATCACTTTTTATTTGAATAGTTTTTGACTTTTACTACTTTCAATTTTTCAATTAAATAGATCTTAAACATCATGTCTCGCATCGACAATATCAATACAAATATTATTGAATAATGATCAACTTAATATTTAGTCATTACAGTTTTGACAGTAAAACTAATCCTTCTTCTTTGTAAATAATAGGGATTTTGAAACACATAAACATGCAGAATAGATTGAGTATTAGTACATGAAAAGAAGCACTGAATCTTCCCTAGGGAGAGGAGATTACAGGTCATACGGATTGTGCAAAATGTCTCGAGCGCATTGACACTGCTAGAAAATGATGTCGCATTTTCTCTAATACATGTATTATTAAGCGAGAAGCCAGAACAAAAAACGATTAGTACTTTCCATTACTGATTTTGAATTGCTTCTGATCGAACCAAGATAGAGAATGGTGAATTTCACGATTAGAAAGAGTCGACGTTGCACGTTCGTTCGCACTACCGCTGGTCAAAGAACAACTATCGGTATAGCAGACATTATACCGAACCATCGACCGACAGTTTATCGGCAGTTTTTGTCCGGTTTGAATCACATGGGGAGGAAATGAAGACATATCGAATTGTACATTTTCTATAATATTTTTTCTGAATGTTTTTTAATGAATTTTGTCAAACAATGCTGAAAATCAGTTTTTGTATCAATGGAGAAAGAGAAGAAAGTGATTTTTTAAAAGAGGAATCATTAAAAAAAGCGAATTCGAATTCCACGTAGAATACCTATATAACTTCGAAACATGTTGAGCCTTGCATTCTTCTGCTGATCTTCAATTGACAGTTTGAATGCACGTCCGATAATTGAAAACTTTGTAAAAGTCCAGATGAAAAAACTGTAATATATGATTCGAAGCATCATCATTTCCTCTCTAAAAATCAAAGCCGCAACTCTATCTTGGTTTTATCATAATTGATTCAAAATGTATCTAACGAGAAAATGTCCTAAATCTTTCTTCACGGTATGAAAATGCTTCTGCTACGACTTTTTTGTATGTCCTAAGAATAATAAATTATTATTGTAAATGAAATCTAATTATTTTTAGAAATTATTCGTATTCGTCTACGTGAACTTTCACTTCAACATATAAAAAATGTTTTAAATGATGTACTTATAATGCAAGAAGATCATCCGGGTACTGTTATTAGTATAAAAACACATCATACTCTCAATCTTTTATACAATACGGCTAAACAAGGTATAACTCAAATACGTTCTCGAGGAGTACTTGATAATGATGATTGTAATTTACTTGAACAATCATTAAAAAATATACATGTTTATCTTCATATTCCATCTACTATGCCACCTGCTTCACCTATAATGGCAATTCATAATTTAGCATGGCTTTTTTCCAATGAACAATTAACTAATCAACAAATACATGAAATTGAAGAAAAAATTCTTCAAGCTTTACCTAATGAAAATGCAAAACGTTTTGCAAATGAATCATTATTACATCCACAAACAGTTTCTTGGCAAGATTTTTTATGGCATAAAAATGATAAAATTCATGGTGTTTATTTATTAGTTAATGGTATTATTGAAGAATGGAAACTTGATCCATATGATATTGATGCATATCATTATGAAATACGTTCAAAAGAAATTAATCATACAAGACAATTACCTTTAACAACACAACAAATATCAAGTCCAAATAATTTTAAACATGTACATTATTCATCAGAATATCAACAATCTATTTCAAAAAATACAAAAGATTTGAAGGTTTCATTAGTAAAAGAAAATGATAAAAATAAATCAGATCAAAATCGTAGATCGATCTCAATACCAAATGAAAATATTGGTAATTATAGAATACTCTGTATATGACTTAAGTAGATAAATCTTGATGAATAGAATGAAAGTTGTTGCAGAATGAAAATCTCTGGATGCTTCCCTCTACGTGTTATTGAGTTTGCAAGGATGAAAAAAATACTTTCTACTTCTCCTATCTCAGCCACACTATATTTAATAGAGTTAAATAACTTTTTTGCAAATACTAGACAATATTTGGGTTGTCCGCTTTGTATCTTCTTTCGTTCGAATAAAAACACCAAAATCCTGAGCGCACTCTAAAAAATACATTTTTCTTTGTGTATGTGATAGACCAACCCGAGATTGACCTATGCGACTCTCACACATTGAAAATGGAACTAGTCCACTGTTATTTTGAGGAACCAGTTTACAGTAAAACTCAAAAAGGTCTCTGAATTCATGCTAGATCTAATTTACTTTCTGTCAACTACGCAAGTAAGTGATCACTAAGTGCGAATTCTATTAGTGATAAACTGTTTTCAATAGAAACTGTTCAGATCATTGTTTAACTCATCAGCTGATAATTGCATCAATTGAAATGACATTTTCTTATTGTAGTTCATCAATAATAATTCGAGTTTTAGTGGTAGACTACTTTCTCTATTTGACATTAGACTAGTTTCAATTCGGATGCGAGATTCACCTACAACATACATGTAGGAGGAAGTTTCAATTTCGATCGAATATACTTTGGTTGAGTGATGGAAGCAATGCTCATTTATCTATGTCAAAAAACTCATTTTTCAAGAACAGTGAAATAATAAATAAATTGTAATGCTTGTCGGCAAAAATGTTTCGTTTTTTCGACTTGTACAATGATAAAATAATTGTTGAAATATGTCATCTAGACAGTAAATACTTCGAAGTGTATATAGAGCTGAAAAAAACACAAGTAAAAAGTGTAAAAATTTTCGGTCTGGAAAGAGGAGATTCCTTAAATAACCCAAATTTAGTTCTTTGAAAGAAAAAATTATTAAAAAATGATACTGTACTGACAATCAATTCTATGATTTATTGATATCATGTCGTAGAACAATCATTAACATCAAACATGAATGAAGTTTTTTCCGATGCATTGTCGCAAGTAGAATCAACAGCTTCTAGAGAAACTGATTCTCTTGTTGACGTTCAATCAATAAAGTAAAATATACATTATTTCGATTTTTTTTATTTTACTAATCCCTTCGTTTCTGTTTAGTACATTTGAAAAAGACACAAAACTTATTAATATGGATACTACATTGTACAATGAACCATCACATTATGATCATTTGAAATCAACAACAGGCGTTCGTACTGCATTTGAAGATGGTTTCTATATGAGATGGCATCATTTAATAACAACTCCAATGAGTGATAAATTCCAAGATAATTCAACAATAGTTGATGATGATATTCATCAATATTATCATCATACACAATTTGAAGAAAATTTCGATGAACTTTTCAATGAAACCTTTGATAAATATCGTCAAATGCATCCAGCTACTTCTGAACGAATACATCGTCGTTATTCTTATAGTTCAGGTGATTGTATTGGTCTCTATGACTTTCTTATTAGTAATGGAGAAAAACATGAATCAACTGCAAAATGTTTAACTAATGTTACTGTCTTTTTTATTTCGAAAGAAAAATTATTTGAAATTTTAAATACATATTCATTATGGGATGCTCTATGGCTTGAAATAGGTATTGTTTTCATTTTCTTTTTGCACAACATGATCTAAAAGGAATATTAAAGTACAGAATCCGATCCGATTCAGGTTAGCATGACGCCATTAATAGTATATCCTTTTTTACGAAAAGAATTTCTATACGATGGAACTCCACAATTACTTCAGTCATTTACTAGATTATAAAATGCAGTTGATAGTGTACTCAGCCTTGTGTTCCTGTGATTAACGATTGCAGTTACATCGTGCTTCAAATTTTAATGCCGCACAGATTATGCTAACAGTTTTTAAAAAAGTTACAATTCTTTATATCGTTATAAATTCTATTATTTAATTTATAGGCATACAATTGGCTCTACGTATTTTGCCGGACATCCGAGCTTTTCAACATTCATCAATAAAATCAAATAACAATCGTCCACTAGCGAATTTTACTTTAATTGATAATCGATTATTAAATTCGGGTTTACTTATATATAATGATATGACGTGTACTTCAGACGATGTTATTCATATACATGAAGATCTTCTTCTTATTGCTGGTTCTGTTCGTAATCAGATTAGTAAATGTGTCTACGAAGCACCGATATTTATAAAACGTTCTCTAAGTAAACAAGGTTTAAAATTACTTGAAGGTCGTTCAATTACTAAAATTCTCGTTTTACCAAAAGCAACAACAACAATGAATACGAATAATCTTTTTACGGACATTTCATTAATACATCATATACTTGATGTTGAAACAAAACGAGATTTCAGTCAAAGATCAAATTATTCCGAACAGTTTAAGAAAAGTCAGATGAAGATATTAGAAAATATCAAATGTAATGATCGAACTTGTTCGAAAAATATGATAAATGAACCATGTCAAATTAATGATAATAATCGATATCCTCAGACAAATATAAATATCGATAAATCACTGTTAGCTACTGATAATAAATTTTGAAAGTCTCCGAATTAAAACATATCATTTTCTAAATATCACATACAGTTCGAAAGAAAAAAAGTGAGCAAACGTTCTTGTAATGAACGCAAGAAAAAGAAAATTATTTTAAAGAATATATTTATAATGATATACTCGTAGCTAAACCTAAGGAGAAATATTCGAATTTTTACATTAAATTCAATTTAATATCGGCATGAAACATATTCAAGGAAATAGAAAAAGAAATATTAATTAAGATGCATGCATATGAATTATCAAAGGCGATACCATTTGATAACTCGAGCCATGGATCAGTCCCAATTACTAGAATATCGATCGAGCAAAGTGAGGTGTACACCAAACGTAAACAGTAGTATTCATCATCCAGAAACTTGAAACTCAACAGCAATTGAGGCGAAATTCGAGAACATCAAAGAGTTTAAAGCATTCTACAATGAGATAGCTTGAAACACTACTACTACACAGTCTCATTGACAGGACTAAAAATACTGGTACATACAATTCCGATATGGATACTCCAAAAACTGAATCGCGCTTGAATTTTCAATATCTGTACGATAGATGTATCTCATATCTTATGGCAATATGCATACGTTTGTATATGAATACTAATTTTATTTGTGATAAAAGAATAATATCATGAACAAATCTACTTAGAGAATGACAGGAGTTAATAGGAAAACAGTTTAAATTATTTAATAATTATCTAAACTCATGAACAACAATGAGACATATAGAGCAAAATGTTTAAATAATCTCTATGAAAATTTTATCCTAAAATCATAGAAAACAATGAAATAGAGTGTATATATCATAAATAAAATTTGATCAATTCAATCATTCATAATCGGATTTAAAGAATTACGAACGATCAATTACTTAGGTCTGACAAAAAGGTCGGAGATCGTTAAATAAAAGTATAAAGATAAGAAGATATGTTCAATTTTATTTCATCAAAGTTTCACGATAATTGTTATGATTATTTATAGCAAGTTTAATTCTTTCTAATAATTTATTAAAAGTTTTTTTAAACTGTTTTTCGAAAAACTTTTTAGCTACCTTGTAAATCACACGAGCACATTATATTTCATTTGACTGATCGATTTTCAAGAATTTGTCTTAAAATTTAGCAAAGATCGTGTAAGTTGCTTCCAGTATTAAGAGTGATGAGATATTGATTTATTTTAGACGGGTTGGTAGCAAGTCATTTGATGATAGCTGGATTAATGAAGATGAGTCAGCAAAAACTGTTGCTCATAGAGACAAATTTGAACCAAAACTTTGTTTTGTATATTGTTTAAGTCAAATAGTCCTGTTTTCACACATAGTCTAGATAACGGCGAGACTGTAGGTCGTAAGTATTATACTGAAAATTGTCTAAAGCCTTTTGTTAATGAAATATGGAAGTAAACAGGGATATCAGGCTCAAAATGTGTAAAATTATTTAACAATCATCGTTAACTTTATATTTATCCGATGTTATTAATTATTCAAGAGAAAAAGGCATAAATTTAATGTCATATTCGCTCGATCTAGTACTACATAATCTTTGGTTAAATAATTCTATTGATCGATGTTAAACTAATTAAATAAATGAAATATAATGTACTCGTGTGATTTACAAGGTAGCTAAAAATTTTTTCGAAAAAAAGTTACAAAAAAAAACTTTTAATAAATTATTAGAAAGAATTGAACTTGCTATAAATAATCATAACAACTATCGTGAAACTTCCATGAAATAAAATTGAAAATATTTCCTTGTCTTTATACTTTTATTTAGCGATCTCAGAACTTTTGGTCAGACCTAAGTAAATTGTTTCTAAAAGTTGCATTTATATACATAATGATAACAACAAACATTAAATTAGAAGAATCGTAAAATTATATACAAAATAACAAAACTCTTTTTTTTTTAATTCAAGACATTTAATATAACGAAAATATTTGAATTATTCAACATAACTAAAAATAACTATTATCTTCTCATCTAGCTCATTTCATATAACAATTCTCCGATAGATTTGCGAATTCGCATCATTTTTTCTTAACAACAACGTTTATTTCTTTAGTTTTTTTTATTATTGCTAGTATAAATTAGTCTACAATCAAACAAAATGATCGATGGTAGAATTTTCGTTAACAAGATTATTTATTGTGTACAGAATAGTATAGATTTAATGCATTGCTTGTTGCTTGTGTATTTCTTTTTCAGTGGCATGTTTTGTCTCATGCAATTTATCACCTAAATTAAAAGAATAAATAATGAATTTTTAACAATTATTATTATGTATTGAAAACAAAAAAAAATGACCAAAACTAACCTGCAGCATCAAAAGCAGCTTCCGTTCGAGTACCTATACTTTGATTTGAATCCTTGGCAATTTCCTTGTTAACTTCCTTACTTGAGCCAGAAACCATTTCTTTTACTTTTTCAGCACCGGCTTTGCAAGCATCAGTAATTTTTTCCATTGTTCGATTAAAAATAATATATTAATGTGAAGTTTGATAATATAAAATATACTTTGAAAATGAAATATGTTTATTCTTACATGAGATATATATACGATCGCCGAATTCCATAAATAGATTTTTTAACGTCGTAAAAAATGAGTAATATGAGGAGACTGAGTGAGAAAAACAAATTTTTGAAGCTTCTCAATTATTCTGTAATAATTACGAGGACTACGTACAATCATCGTACACGTTTCTATATAATTTTATCCTCAAAGGACAGTTTCTAATGACAATTATTGAGTAAAAAGAAAAGACAAACATATATTACTCATCCTTGATCACATATGACGATATAGAAAAAAAATATATATTAAAGACCTATATTGAAAAGAGAAGGCAGGAAAGCATTAACTTGAAAGGCTATGATATGTAGCAATTGATAAAATTATTTCCTCGTGTTTTTTACACGTGATATTATTTAATAAAGAACGAATATTAATTTATTTTTATACCATTGCGAGGAGGAAATCACTATTGAAAATAGTTCCTGTTGCAAAAGTGTTTGCATAAGATGTGTCTGATTTACTTCCATGTATTTATAAGCCATCCGAGAGAACTAAAAATTTGATATTCTTTCTAAATAAATATTTAGATCTTTTTCTTTAATTTATAGTTAGTTCATTGAGAGCAAAGTTTTGACAAGATCAAACGATGTCTATACAAAATTTATCATGCCGTTTAATTTCATATTTTGATCAAAACTATCTCAAACGAAACTACAAAAAAGTGTTTTTATTCGCTGGTTTGTAGTGTCTGACTTGTTCGACAAAGCATCCATTTAGATTCTCATTTTACATATCACTACAAACGATTGAAATCTATTGCATTTTAAGTACTAAAATCCGAAAAATATTTATCGTTTTTAATGCTTTTCAGTTCAATAATAGAAAATTAAATCAAGACTATTCCAATATCTTATCCAGAAAAGTTATGAATAATAGAAAAGTGTGTTCGGCTTAGTACAAATGTCATTTTTGATTTATTTAAATAGTTACTCATAGCTAGTCTACCGTAAATTAAAGAAAATTTCTGAAAACACATTTAGAAAGAGTATGCAATTCTGCTTTTAGTGTTTTCTGCAAACGTAATTTTTGACCATATTTATTCTCAACGAACTAACTTTAAGCTGGAAACAAAATTCTCAATTTATAGTTGAAAAGAATATGAAATTTTGATCTTTTCAATAATTTATAAGTAAATAACAACGGGTCAGATATATGTATGTACATAGACCTTTGCAACAACTGATTAATCGGATATTAATTTAAACTAAATGCTTATTTGTATATATTAAACAATCATTTTTAGAATGTAGACTTCTGTTTTGATGAAAATTTTCATTATTTCTAAATGTACTTATCATTGAATAATCGTAATCAGACGGTAAGTGATGAAGATTACAGGAATTTGTGCCCAAGGAATGTTCAATTCGGTTTTAAATTGAAAAAATTATTTATATTTAATTAGTTGCTACGTTCCATAGTGCTACGCAGTACATCTTAATGAAAATGCTGATTGTTCAACACTATGGAATGTAGCAACTAAATAAAGAGATGAGACTATTTATAGAGGCTGAAAAGGTCAATATAAGTCCAGGTTGAAACTCCAGCCTCCTAATGATTATTTATTCGAAATATTGCTTGTTTGAATATCAATAATCAATCATTTTCAATCGAGAACACGACTTCTGTTGGTCAACAATTTGGAAAGAACTATGAATGTATAACTTCTATATCTAAGAATATTTTTTTACAGCTTTTTATTTTTTATGATAGGTACCAAATATAATATCAATCTATCATTTTTCTAAAGTACTAGAGATAATCTTTGAATAAATTCACATAACAAAATTTGAAATATTTAGCTGCAAAGTGAATGATTTATTTTCATGTGTTAGTTTTAACCGAAATTGAGAGAATAGAAATCGGAAAATAACTACAGACGCAAAATAAATAAAACTGAATGTGACGATAATAGCAAAATCTATGTTTAAAATAAAAACATCTGTCATCTTGATCGTTCGTCTTCTTATCTGACAAAAACAAATCTTTCTTTTTCTCACTAGAAATATTAAAGGAAAAAAAAAGTTACAACAATAAATTTAAAAAAAAAATGTTTATTTTTTGTTAATTGTATCAATATCTCGTTGTTATTCTTAAGCAGATGGATCTTCTGTTCTCCTGGCTTCAATCACAAATGGATTCGGTGCATCAGGTCCAACATCAGCTAATTTATGATTGACTCTAAATGATAGAATTATTAACAAATTGCCTAAGAAAATCTCTTCACATACTCGCGATGTGTAGCTTCATCAGCACGTATAGCTAATAGAACATCTCTCATCATAGCATTTTCTGGTAGTTTCCAATAATTTTTAGCAATACTTGGTGCTGATAAGGCTGACCATGCCGGAAGCTTACCAGCATCAAGATCTTCAATACATCGTGTGTAAGTAATAACAGCCTCTTCTTCAAGAAAACCAACAAAACGATGACATATTCTTGGTGAAAGAATATATGTAAGAAAGAAAGCACTTGAAGAGGAAAAAAACAATAAGTACTTGATTTGAAGACATTATTTTTTACAAAAAAATTCTTACTTAAAAAATGCACCTTGACCAATTAGAACAATTCCACGAAAGAACCAGCCTGGTTGTCGTAACTGTAAAAAAGTAAGTAAATGCATACGTTCATTTTCTGCTTCAGACAAAAGAGTATGAATCCATCCATAATCACGACGCATTGTACCTTCAAATAACAAAATTGTTATCCAGCGTCACTTACAGCTTACAGCTTACGAAGTGATTTCATATGACGACTCATTCCACCGACCATGCCTGGTACACCAGCAACTGTTTCGAGAAATATAAAACGTCTCAACCATTGCTGTTCGGTCATAGTTTTATGTGAATGTTGAACTTCGTTTTTGAAATCAGATTTTGATGGTAGTGATGGATGCATATAACCAGTAAATACATCGAAAACAAAGCGCAAAGTTCGAACAGCTCCATATGCTACACGATCATGCCATGATTCAAATCTTTTATGTGTTATTTTAATATCATTAAGTTCTTTTTTCGAGTAAATTTCATGATGCATCATATAATTTTCTGGTTCTGCAAAAATATAAAACAAAATTAAAGAAGATTTTCATCAATCTAAGTGAATATCTCTGCTTATAATTTTTCTATAATTGAAATTTTAAATGTATAGAAAGATATAACACAATTATTCAACACTGTTCTTCTTTATACATACGTTTATGTTGAATTATCGCCCTAGCCACGATTCGCATATGAGGATGTTCTTCAATTGAATCCATTTTCGCCATATCTTTATTCATCAATGGTAAACATGTATGAAGAAGACATCGTGATTGAATAGAATTCAATTGATAAAAATATTTAGTCGTTGGTGAAGATAAATAATGAATATGAAATAATAATCTTATACTTTTCATTGTAAAACTCTCGGTATTAAAAACAAATAATATGAAAGGCACCGAAAGAACAATTATCGTTTATATATGAAAAAGTTGTTTATTAGTGTGACGTCATTTACACTCTTTTTCTTTCTGCTCTTTCCCTATCGAATAACGTTATGAGAGAAGGGGTAAGGTTCACAAATGTACCGATTGCGTAGGCTTGATGTTTAGCTGCAGAAAAAAATGCTTATGTCATTGTGAATACAACAACCAGACACAACGCCCATTAATCATGAGAAAACATTTACGAATCAAATGTTGTCTGAGAAAGTATAACAAACAAATATTTTCGTTCGGTACAAATCAGTGTCGTGGAAAAACTAAATGTGAGACCCTTGATCCTTTTCATTTTTTTAATTAACTTTTTTGATAGATATTAGATTCATATTTGTCGATTTCTGATTAGTTGATTTAATACGGTTGCTGAAAAATTGAATTCGGATATGATGTGGAGACGATTTTAATCAAGTAATAATTATTGTTATAATAAATATTCTTCGAAATCTACATAATTTTCAAGAATTAATTAAAGCATACAATCAAAATACAGAATAATGGGATTTTTTTCTATCAATGTCAAGTAGAGCATCAGTAATTTTTAAGGAAAATTATAATAGTGATTGTTGTTAGAAAAGAAAATAATAAACAAATGTAATAAAGTTGATAGTTGCATGTTTTAGAACAAGTTTAAATTTTAAGAAATCGATTTTTAACTAAAAGAATGTAGACAAAATGTAACATCAAGATATCAAAATTTATCATTTATACATTATCTTTCTCTTTACATATTCTTGTAAAAACTTGTATTGATAATCATTACACATGAAGAATCAAGTTTATATGATCAAGAGGAGAATGTGCAGGTTTAACACCGCCAACATCTTTCGGTATTGAAACTTGAAAATAGTGCTCATAGAGATCGATAAATAATGTGATAATTGAAAGTGAGTGTCATATTATTCCAATTTGATTTTCTTGACGATGATGAATTCCTGTAACACTTAACTAAAAGTTATCGATGTCTAAGAATTCGAATTTAAGATGGGCTGCTCGAATTTTTTTTTATTGTCTTGCAGTAGAGCGCCACTAACGGAAAACATTGAACTCGGAAATTTCGAAAAACTAGCTATAGATTCGAATTTCTCGAGCCCAAAAACCATTAGTCAAGTTTTATAAACAGTTATTATTATCGAAAACTAACCTTGTCTTGATTAAAAGAAAAGAAATTGAACAATAGTCTCGGCTATCACCTTACTTTCTATCGGATTTTTCAAAACTTTATTAACACGATAATATCTTTCAGTATTATTTGATACATGGTGCCTACATTTACTTCCTTGTATACTATAAACAAAAAAAGAAAACAACAAATGCCAAGATGAATCGAATCTAATACTTTATCAATCAATATCTTTTTTTTTTTTTTTCAAGCAAAAAATCTTAAAATATGAATGTGAACAATGTTTTACTTATCAAAATCAGGAAAACATAATGAAAAAGAATGATCATGATAAAGAAAACAAAAGAAAGTGAAATCAACAAGCATATAATCATTGTATATCCAAAGAACAAAAGACAAAAATAGAGAGATAAGTTTTCCTAAAGATAGACATACATTTTCACAACGATATCAGTTAATTTATCAGTACTGTATAATAAATATCAGTTAAATTTTTTTAAAAATTCTTCAGCACACATTCGTGCACGTGAACTAACGGCTAATTTCATTTCACTAATTTCTTTATCAATTTCTTCAAGAAAATAAATTATAAAATCAACCAAACGATGTTTATACATTGTTTCAGCATGAAAATTTGTTATCAAAAAACTAATATCATAATCCTAGATCAACAGAAGAGAAAAAAAAACAATTGTTTTTTTATGTATATACAATAATAAATGAAAAATTTAACATACAGGAATTGGTTTTCGACGAAGTATATGAAAATCATCAGCACGTTGCATCATAAAACGCATTAAACGTTTACATAAAATCTTTTCAAGATCATCAGCCTATTCAATGAACATTAAAATTTGACTATTAGAATTAAACTAAAATAATTTTTACTTGTTTAACAGCGATACTAATTCGGACGGAATTAATAGAACCTTCAATAAAAATTTTTTCATTTTGATTACGACTAATGGTAACCGGATTAAGTAATAATTGTTTTGAAGATCTAATACACATGAAAAAGACTATGATTTTGTTGTAATTATTTGGCATTACATTTTTAAACGCACTTTACTTCAACCTCAGGTTTATTATGTCGTTCAACAACTTGGGATTCAAAATTTTCAATACAAAAAGCAGCTTGAAGTGTTGCTCGAATAGCATCAAGATATGGTTTATGAGCCGGCGTCTACGTTGATGAAACAAAAATATTATTCATTACAAAAAAAAAAAAAAACAGGTTCGAGAAAAGTAAGCTTACTCTAGGAGGTACTGGCTGTGTCATGATATATCGGCTATGTAGACAAACGAAAACGTGTAGATAAAAAAGAAGCCACAAATGAATGAAAATAAAATAATTGCTATTAAACAGAACAAAATGATACTGTAATGATTCGCTGGTTGTTAGTACCATTAAGTAGTCACATTTCATTTGATTAATGGTAAATAGCGGCATCTATTTGAACTTCTTCGATATGTATTTTCTCTTGTTTTCTGTTAACAAGAACTTCAGAAAAATCACAAGACTAAAAATTATCATTGAATCCTTCGGCAAAGTCAATCATTAAAAGTTTAGTTATGGGTGTTTTGAAGTATGGGAAAAACATCGATTTTACCTTTCATCATATCGAGGAAAATGCTCTTGACATAGTAATTAAAAAATTCTCGATACTATTAATGCCAAAGATGTTCATCCGAACAATTATTAATCAATTGTGTAAATGATATTATTTATCGAAGCTAACTTTTTTTCTCAGTTGATAAAAAAATCTCACGCCTGTCACGATTCCGTCTCATAGCATATTGGTAAAACTAAAGATCAGTAGTTTTCAAGGTTAGTTAGAATTGTATAGCGGTTATTTTTTTTTACAAAATAGAAAAAAAACTTTGATGTTACTTCATAGTTTGTTTGAAAAATACTGAATTTATTGGGGTGTATCGAAAAAAAGTTAGCAAACCCCTACTGCATACTCTCAACACTTTCTATCCCAGGTCAATTCTGATAGGAGATATCAGACCTTAGTTTATGCATCCAAGTATTTTTCGATTTTCTTTTTTCCTCTATAGATTCTATTTAAAACCAATGCCGTTAAATAACCTTTAGCAGTTAGTGATGCAATTCTTCTAAGTTTAAAGAAAAAGATCATATGAAACATTAAGAATGAGATAAGTCGTAGGACTCATAAGAGAAATAGCTAATTATGGGAATTCAGATATGTTAGAGTCTTATTGAAGTCTCAAGTACTTGAAATCATATGTTTTTCTCTCAGTAAAATCTTACTTACATGTTATAATGGTTCAATAACAAATGACATTCATCGTTGATTATGATTGTTGCAAAAAATAAATATGTTGATACACAGCGCCCTCCTTATTTCGAACCTTATTGATTGACTAATGAACTAATGCGATAGTTGGATTCTTTTGCTAATAAACTCTTGTTTTTATTTTTTTTTCTGCGTGTAAAAAAAAAAACCGAATTCATGGTAAGAAACTCCCGCAACATTATTTATCTTTTTTATATACTTATAATTATCTTTTTTTTTTCAAGTCAAATCTCTATATACTATTTGAACATGCATCTGGTTATGCATTATTTCGTGTTCGTGAATTCGAAGAAATTGGTATGAATATACCACAAGTAGAAGCAAGTGTAGTCGATCTATCAAAATTTGCAACTGTTGTTAAACTTGTGGCATTTCATCCATTTCAATCTGGTGTTAATGCACTTGATAATATAAATGCAATATCTGAAGGTTAATTTCATATTTTATTTTTCTTTCTATTAAAAATAACTGTTGTTAATCACAGAGAGACTATTTTATTCGACCTATTTTATCGCACAAATACAATAAGAAGCTAGTTCGTATATCATAACGAGATGTACGGCACCAATTTCTTTTAGCTCCGATTATTTCTTTACTAATCATCTCAGTCTAGAAAAACCTATTTTTTATTTATTTAATTGGCAACTGGTATTTTTGTTGAGTCATCTCTCTCTCTCGAACTATGTATCGATTGATAAGACCATAAAATCTTAAACTGTAATCTTTAGTTCCAGTTGAGACAATTTTGTTTCTTATAGTCCCACACATCTTTAGGTGTTAATAATGGTGGATTCAAATTTTTACCTGTATACTTCAACATTCCTCTTTAGATCGTGTTTCACAATAAATGTTTTCTTTTTTTATAGGTTTAGTTCATGATGATCTTCGAACATTTCTTGATACAAATTTACCAAAAGAAAAAAAACGTGCTAAAATGATTCTTGGTGTTGCTGATTCACGTATAGCATCAGCTATAAATGAACAATTTTCAATTTCATGTCAACATACAGGAGTTGTACCAGAACTTTTACGAGGTAATATTTAATAAACAAAATATATTCGATTGTTTGTTTTATATTTAAAGGTCTTCGTCTTCATTTTCCAAATTTGGTCAAAGGTTTAACCGATCAAAATCAAAATAAAGCACAACTTGGTTTAGGTCATGCATATTCACGTGCTAAAGTTAAATTTAATGTTAATCGTGTTGATAATATGATTATACAATCAATTGCATTACTTGATCAACTTGATAAAGATATAAATACATTTTCTATGCGTATTCGGTAAGATTATTTTATGAATAAATTTTATATTTATTTACTTTTTTTTCATTTAGAGAATGGTATGGTTATCATTTTCCAGAATTAATTAGAATTATCTCAGATAATTATACATATTCACGAGTTGTACATTTAATGAAAAATCGAAAAGAATTTTCAATTGATCGTGTAGATGAATTAGAAGCTATTACAATGGATAGTGGAAAAACAGCAGCAATTTTTGAAGCTATGAAAACGACTATTGGTTTATAAAGGATTTTTGTTTAAGATTTTAGAATTATTTGTTTGTAAATTTAGGTATGGATATTTCACCAATTGATCTTATTAATATTGAATCATTTGCCAATCGTGTTATTCATTTATTTGAATATCGAAAAAGTTTACAAGAAGTAAAAATTTGTTTTTATTTTTCAGTCTCTATAATTGATTTGTATTAATTTTTATAGTATTTACGAAGTAAAATGGGACAAGTAGCTCCAAATTTAGCTATATTAATTGGTGATCAGGTATGAATAGTAGACTAAGATGGTAACAGCATAGGTATTTTCGCATTCCAAATTCATTCTCTATAAGAAAGATTCTCTTTTAGAATTGTGAATACATTTTTCTATTTCGTAAATGAATAAGAGAGTAGAGAACCAAATTATTGATTATAATAGGATCTATTGCTTGCACTGGATATTCTTTGACAGAAGGCTAACTAATAAGTCTGCAGGATGTCCGAAAAGTCATCTGCTATGAAAGAAAATTATACATTTCCACTACGACTGAGCCGAATCAAGTGGTATTTTGTTTTCTAGTAATAGAAAAGATTTACAACTGTCTTTATTGAATTTAAAGTTTATAAATACTCCTGAAATGAGCTCCTATTTTTTATTAAGCTTCGAAAAACAAAGGGTATTGGTTTTCTGTTGAATTGCTTCACTTTTTTATCGTTATTCTGTACTTGTCGCCATCTAGGTATTTTTTTTGTTGTCAATACTTGCATAACACTTTTGGAAAATCTTTAGTAATTAGTACATTTATTCAAAGTAATTCTTTTCTTTGTTCTTTAAAAACTTTGACAAGAAGTTAATTGATAAAACTATCATGATTTTAGGGTTTCTGAAGTGATTAAATTTGCGCTTAATGTTTCTAATTTTTCAAAAAAAATCCTGTATGTTGTTTCTTCGAAACTCGATAAATGGGATTTTTTTGTGTATTGGATCCAAAACTTATATTTTTTAGTAGAATTTATAAACTTAAAATTTGTAAATAAAAATTTGAAAGATCTCCTCTATTGACAGAAACAAAGCAAGTTGATTCAGTTTAACTACAGTGGAGATATATAGTTTTATTTTTGATAGATTCGTCCGGTTGGCTCCCGGACCTGATAGCTCTAGTTATCCGAATACAAAAGTCAGAAAAACCTATCTCATATATTCGGTGCAGCTATCCGATTCCGAAAATTTTAGACTCGACGAAGTGTATCAGACACTATGTTTATATCCTGGCAAGTTGTTTATCTCAATAATCATGAAAATTCATTTGTTTTTTTAATTTAAATGTTAAGAAGGTATCACAAACTGTTTTAATAGGAAAACGAGATATCATGATTCAACTTGTGATAGATTTTAACTCATTACATATTTGTTAAAAAACAGATTATTTTCCTGATCAAAATATATGAAAACTGCGAAATCTGATTTGAGTTTGTCACAAATCACTAGAAATGTTTGAATATTCTGTTTAAAGACAACAAGAAGTAGTTATGTCATATTAATATCTTGTTTTTAAGCATGTCTATTAACTAATGAACAGAAAACAACTAAGAATACAAATTTGATGAATTTTTCTTGAAAAATTATCATAGTCGTAAGTGTATATACTCATTAAATGTTACGAGAATTTAATTGTGGATTAATAAATGTCGACAGATTTTCAATGTCAAATTATCTTAATATTGATTATAGTTATTTCAAATTCTTATAGGTCGGTGCACGTCTTATTGCACATGCTGGTAGTTTAACTAATCTTGCTAAATATCCAGCATCAACAATACAGATTTTAGGTGCTGAAAAAGCTCTTTTTCGGTAACAAAAAAAAAACTTTAATTTATTTGTTCGTTTTCTTATTAATTCATTTTATTTTCTATATGTAGAGCATTAAAAACTAAAGGTAACACACCAAAATATGGTCTTATCTATCATTCATCATATATTGGTAAAGCAAATACACAAAATAAAGGTCGTATTTCTCGTTATCTAGCTAATAAATGTGCTATTGCATCACGAATTGATTGTTTTTCTGGTTTGTATTTTCTTTCTTCTTTGTTTTTATATTTTTTTTTTATTTTGAATTTTAAGAAATTCCGACCGCTATTTTTGGTGATCATTTAAAACAACAAGTTACTGATCGATTAAAATTTTATGATAGTGGTGCATTTCCACCAAAAAATGTTGATGTTATGCAAATAGCTTTGCAAGAAGCTGAAGCAGAACGTGAACAAATTTTAATAAAAGAAAGAAAACGAAAGAAAAAAGAAAAAAAACGTCGTAAACAAGCTGAAGCAGCAGCTGCAGCACTTGATGAAGATCAAAATAGAGCAAACATGGTTGAAGAAACTGCTTAATAATTTTTGTGTACTACGATATATTATTGCTTGTTTGTTTCTATGAATTGAAACATTTTCTTTTGTTATTTGTGTAGTGTACTTTGTAGATTTGAAAAACAAAGCGAATCTACCGTTAAAAAATAATGACATTCAATTTGATTTCATTTTTAAAGAATCCTAATAATTGACGGCTGATACAAAAGTTTCTAGAAAAATGTCAAATCATTTTGCATCGAGTAAAACGTGTTTCGGAAAAGTAACAGGCTCTTATTCAGGATCCAGATTCAAAACACTTTCTAATTGTATGTTAGAGCTCATCGGACTCTAGTCGTTAGAGAAATGTGTATGGTGTGCTAATCACTGAATACAAAAAATCGAAGAAAAGTACTGTATGTTCAAAAAAATTCTATCTTGTTTTGCCTTTTAACTACGAGCAAATCTTTATATGATACTAAAATGTAGTTTGTAAAATGCAATTTGCAGTGACTGCAGTAAAAGAAAACTGATCTTTAAGAGAACCTGTTTGTCGAAGTTTCTGAAGAAAAAATCCTCAGAAATTTTTGAAACTTTTAGAACAGATAAGTCTTCACGCGTAGAGCAACAGTTGTCATGAACTTCAAATTCCCCAAAACTTCCTTCTAAAATTTGATTCGCTTTCTCAGTCGTAATAAGTTCAATAGAACTAGACTTTTTTTTATAAATAATAGACACGGCTTGGAATGCCTACGTTTTTTAGTTTCTTCTATTCGAATAAAAAAGATCAAAATACAGCGCGTATCTCGAAAAATACATGTACATTTTTGACTAGAGCATTTTTGTAAAATCTGCCAGAGCATCAATAGTGCAATATTTTTCAAAACAAAAAAGTTTCAGTTCGATCAAAAGTACTATGTCGGAGAAACGGGGGGGGGGGGGGGGGGGGCGAATCCGTTTTTTTTTTTTTTAAAAATTTTTTTTAAAAAAAAAAAAAAAAAATTTTTTTTATTTTTTTTGT